ATTTTGTCATAAAACTTACTTTTAAGCAATTTATATTTTCAATAAATTGGCAACTCTATAAGCTACAATTTAAGTCGGTGAGCGGTATGATAGTTCTTTCATATATTCGACATTATAGGATCTATGACATTTTGATATATAGCGTAAGATCTTTTAATAATGTAATAGGCAATATTTGGTCTAATTGCACTCATCGATGCAGTTTTTTACAGGCTTCAATTTGATATAAAATACTTAGTGAAATCATTTGACCTTAAAGTCGAACCAGGGGGCGTAAAGGTTTTGCAACACCCTCTAGATACTTGAAAATGCTATGGTATTCTTGATACTGTTACTAGTGGTACAAATCCTGACCTACTTATTATGTCAACCACATTTGAACTTCTCTTCGATACTGATAATATGGTCACGTCAGTGCAGTCATTTACTCTTTTTGGTGAACTATAATTAGTCGTTTTGGTCCACTTAATTCGCTCATCATTTGCGCATTTCTTCTCATATTTGTTCTCACTATGTATTTATATTATAGGAAGAAGCGGGATGAAAACATCTACGATCCGTTACGAAATATGATCAAATCATACAATGAGAGGCAAGGTGTCATTGACATGAATGATGTTGACAGGCCATAAACTTATTTAAATATCTATTTACAAAATATTTTTATTGCAAAACTATTTTATTATTATAAACTTTTTCAATTTCTTTTTGAGACCGAAACTTTATGTGTTAACAACATGACTCATGTCTTCTTTATATATCTTATTGTAGTGTCGACTTTGTTTTTATGTAAAATGATAAACGTGCAAAATCATTAATTTTAAGGAAAATTATGGAAAGTTTTTTATGTATTTCGTTAAAGCCCTTCTTTCGTTTCGATTATTGGTTACAGTGGATTTCAGAATATAGTATGCACTAGTTGTGCACGAGCCTCACTTTCCATCTGATGGTGATTTGATGTATTTCGTCCTTTGTATGAACTACCATTTTAAATTTTATTCGATGGTGGTAGGGCTGATTAAAATAAGTAAGTTTATATCTATGAACATGATACACAATATTAATTACAGTCGTACTGCCTTGGCCAATTGCCATATGCTCGAAAATATCATGTGCCTTTGTTCTAAAAATTTTGTTTGGCGTTTTGCGTTGATTTTAGCCTTTGCAGTTTTCAAAGACGTTCATAATTTAACAAACTCTCGAGAGTTTAATGTAATCGTACGCCTACAGATTTTTCAAACACAGAAGGACGGAAGGGACCAAGGATGTTAAACCTCAATTTTTTATTTAACATTCAAAAACTGCTTTTCTACTCAATTTTGCGTGCTGATCACTGAGATGCAAAAGATGTTATCTAGGCAAAAACGTCATTTTGAATGCAAATTTTTCGTAATTTTAGCCTTCTGGCTTATTTTGCGGTTCATTTTCTGACTGCGATTAAAAATACTATTAATAAACTAAATTTATACATCAATGTTTATCTTTTTTATCGCATTACTTCAATCTGGTTCACTGAATTTTCATTGAAAATATTTTTTGCTTTTGGTTCATCGTTTTCCTTCTCAAAAAGAGCTTTCTTATGCACTATCCCAGCTCTGCTATCATAACCATACCCTACAGTAAACAAATTTTAATGAAGTATTTTTCAGTGGAATTCCTTTTCAAGGAAAGTTCGTAGTAGCCTTGAATTCAAGAAAGAGAGAGATTCTTTCAAGTCTTTAGCGAGTGTAGGTTACAACAGACAAGACACGAAAACCATCCTCTCTCGGTGTAACAGCCAGTTTTAATATGGAAAATTTGTTTTCGTTTAGTGCTTTACCGTGAACCTCGGACAAACAGCCGATCTCAATGGATATTATGCAAGATTAAGTTGTGGATAAATAATTTTAAGTTATCGTTATATTGCTGAGCAACGATGTGTACGAAGTCGAAGACATTTGTTAGCAATAGAGAATGAGATTCACAACGTTGCTCAAAGAATTTTGTTTCGATTAATGAAAGGTGAGTCTTGACAAAACAGGTTAAACCGATATAGTGGCAAATAACTACTTTTTCTTAGGAGTGCGAAATGCTTATGTTAGTGCAACAGGTTGAGACACAATTTCGCGTTCACATTGTGCCTATCTTCGATGTGTTTACCAAGTGAGTACAACATACTAATTAGATTCTGCTCTTTGAATGTTACTTGCTGGTTCTAAATAGATTCAAGCGCTCGATATTAGATTCAGTGTAAATGGAAAGCAAGGATATACAGCCAGTGAAGATCATCAAATGAATGAGACGAGAGAATGTACATTTAGTGTGTCGATCCATGGTGGAAGCATCTAGCAGCCAAAATGAATATGAGATCTGGAGTCAACACATTATTAGCGGTGAGCCTAACTGACTGCATTTGACGTGACAATATTATCAGTATCGGAGAGAAGTTCAGATGTGGTTGACATAATAAGTATTGAATGTGAAACTAGTGCGATTAAAGACAACTAGTTCTTCATTTTATCATCCAATGGTTAAGCTTATTTATCTTGTTTATAATTGTCTTGTATAGAGAAACAATATATTTTCCATCAAGGCCTGACAACTGTCAAGCATCAATGGGAAATTGGAACCAAAACTCTTCAAGAATCAATCATGTTCATCAGCCCAAGTGATCCCAATTTCAAAAAAAAATGTTCATTCGTGCGTCAATCGATCAGTACTAAAATTTCTTAAAAAGTCACTAATGACTAGTGTTAATTGTTCTTCACTCGACTTGTTTCAACACACAGTCTATTAGATATTTTATAATCTATAAAATCCGTCAGGATTCCGTATATGGGCTGTTTGAAAATCGCCGGGTATTTTCTATAAATAATTTCCGACTTTACAATGTATTTCGCAATGCTGCTCTGTTGACCACAATTATTTCATGTTGGTCTTTATCTTGTTGAACAACAAAAACTTCATTCAAACCTTTTTCTATGTGCTTCTCTTTTGTCCCTTTTCTGGGTGGCAACATTTTTCTGGTTACTGATGCGTACACTGTAAAGTCGAAAATTATTTATAGAAAATCCTCGACGGTTTTCAAAAAGTCCATGCAGAACTAAGAAAGTAAAACAAAGAGATGAACTTGATTCTACACCAATTTTCAAATTTTATCATATATTTCAGTCAATAAGTCTCGTTTGTATTAAACGAGACGTCTGTTCATAAATCATCGTCTTTTTTATTTGTTGTCATCTGCATGTAAAACGAAAATATCTTTTACTCGTTGAAAAATCGCACACAAAAATATCTCCGTGCACATTTCTGTCTTTTTTCGGTACACCTCTCTGTAACCGTACACAAAATGTCAAAAGATTTTTAGTGCAAGAAAAATAGCAAACCGTGCACATAAAACATTTTTCCACCGAACTCACACCATGCTGCTACATACACATTATGAATTAAATATTTCACCTTTTTACATCGTGTTCTCGAAGAAAAAACGGTTGTAACATTGTGCAATAACTAGATAACTGAGTTCTTCACAGAGTTATTAATTTATTTTATTCACCAAAAGCGAGAGTCATCAAAGTTTCGCGACTGAGAATAACAAGAAGTCAAAAAATCGATTTGAACCGATTCTCCATCTCTTAGCTGAGCTGACGAGGGAACCGATTTAACTGTTAAATTGTTTTTTCAATGAGGCCTAGTGGATTATAGGTTATCGACTATGCTGATTCCGAATATGGCCATGCTAGTTGCGTATAGGATAGCAAGCACCTTGCCAGTCGACTGGTCGAATTGACCACAGCAATAGTGTTACTTTTATATATCGGGCGAACGGAGAACGTTGGGATGCAGATTACAGCAGACCGATCAGCTATTGTTACTAACAATAAATCCAGGAAAACTATTAATTCTGATTCAGAACTTCAACTGACTGTGCGTAATCATTTTCTTGCAAAAATAGTACATTTGGCTTGAAATCGTCTCATGTGATTTCTTAAAAGAATGCTTACGTATTTCATGCCTCAGAAAGATCCAGCGAAATCCTGACACAAAAAAACGAATTTCTTTTTTTTATCAAACCTTCATCCATAAAATTCTCTATGTAACCAATAAGTCTTTTGTTTTACAGTGATTTCAACAGTGCACATCAATGTCCAATGGAAGTCCAGTGGATTCTCAATTACACTATATAATGAAGTCTAGTGACACATTTCCAACAAATCGACGTCCACACTCTCTCACAACGTTCTAGATCTATAGCTGTCTCTCTTTTTGACGAATGTATGTGTAGAACTTCAGTAGAAGGAGCACTGGCCGGTAATCTGTGTCGTATTGTTCACGGTAATATATAGCAAGTTGACTTTTACAGCCATTTCGCATAACGGTCAACGAAATGTCTATGCATTACCCTTTTCGTCATTCCATTTATAGAATTTTAAAGAAAACATCGTGAAAAGCTGAAAGACACCTTTTTCTGTAACTAAAAGTGTGATCGTCAAAATCCATACGAAGCTCAATGTAAAATATTGAACTATTTTTCTGATACGATGGAATTTCTAATAGTCCCATTTCATTAGAAATTGGATTAGAGCTCTTGTAAAACTGAACTACAGCAGAAAACTGAGCATATCCTCTGAAATGAGTCTCGACCAGGCTTGAAGAGCACACTCTTAGCTACAAAATGACATCTCTCAACTCTGCACGGTCTCCCATTCAAATATTTTAAGATTAACAAAAAAGGCAAGAAGTAACGCATCGACACGTTGCGCGGAACGACTGATTTACAAGTTGCAATGGCACCTTCTTAGAACACAATTGTTTTAGGATACAATTTTTCTACATATTTGATTGAAAATACTTTCAGTTCGTCTCAGTTTAGGTTCAAGGAGTTCGTATATTGAGATTGGTTAAGATCTTAATTATTCTTTTTGAAATGAAGTTATCAGTGATGTGTTAGGTGTAATTATCGAGATAAAAATAAATCAGAATATATTGAAAAACTTTCTAAACTTGCCTAATAATAAAAGTTATATAATATCACACATATTAGACCTTTTTGTAGCTATTGGAAGTGCATGTGTCAAAATCGGTTGATGTTTCGCTGGTGAACAAAAAGGCTTTAGCTCAGCTTTGAATGCTAAATAGCTACCAACTGGTAGTGTTTTCTTCTCAAGATCATAGAGTTCCGTTTTTAAAGTTTGAAACATTGATTCCGAATTGTCGATACACATTTTGTATAATTCAGATAATCGTTCACCATTCATATTTTTACATAAAGGTTTCATTATATCCAAATCCTTGGCTTCTAAAAACTTCTGAACGTCATCTTTTGTCCATTGATCCATTGAAATTTTTACATCGAACTCATCCTTCGTCCGGGATCTACTAAAATAGTCCTCGGTGAGACCTGCTTTAATGTATTTTTTAACGATATACTTACATGGTACTATCTGCTTGATGAATATCATGACCTTTGAGGGCACGGTTCTCGTTTGAGTCAATTATATTTCTGTGTCGATTCATTTCTGTGATGAGTTTCCTGTAACCTGTTATAAAATCAGTTTTGGGAAAGTCGATGTATATTTTCCCGCTGGTGATAATTCCTAGCCAGCCATCTGGTCGATAATCTTTTTTCATAATTAATGGAATGAGTCGACATTGTCTCTCGAATGCATAGTGAGCTTCTGATTGACAATAAGAACTCTGCTTATAAGCATCAGACATGCAGATAAACACAAATTCTGAGTTCTCAATGGCATCGGCCATTGCCTGCATTGTTGAGCCAAACATTTGATCTCGATCAAGCCACACACGGTATTTGTCCTTTACTAATTGCTCTTGAATTTGCCAACAAAGATCCTTGTCCGTATGAGAATAACTTATCATCACATCGTGTTTATACCGAGAACTGTTTTTACTCAATGCTCCAGACAGTGATGACTGTTGTGCTACAAACTGCGATTCTTTTTCAAGTTTCCAAATAATTCCTTCAGCAATTTTTTTTGTTTCGGAAATGTCTGATGATAACTGAGATTTGACGTAACTTAAAAAGTTTGCATTTTGTCTTAGAATATTAGCAGCTTGATCGTCAAATGTCATTGCCCATAGAATATTCAATGCTTGTTGCTGAACTCTGGTAGGATCAAACTTTTCTTCTGTGGCGCATCGAATTAGCAGAGGTAAGCCTCTCTGCTCAACCAGTTGCTGTTTAATTTGATCGTGTTGAACAAGCGCTGTATTAATACAAATAAAGAAAAGATAGCTTGCAGAATGCGATAAAATACTTACATTTTAGACTGAGCAGTATGCCATTGAGAGGAGAGCCATAACAGAACTGATATCTGTCATCAATCGCCCCTTTCAAATACTTTATAAACATTGATGTTATTAGATCGGCATTTGTTAATTTTTTCAAATCATTTTCATTTAAAATATTTGCGAGAAGACGATAGGATGTCATTTGTGTTACGTACGATGATGCATGCGTTAAGTTCATTATTGTGGTAGCTAAATTCTTGAGTTTCATGATACATAAAATGTTTGGTTCAAATGTCAAATGGAACAAATATCTCACCGAATTTTCAATAAGAAAACTAGCATCTTTGTCATAATTTTCCGAATCGATAATACGATTACATAGTTTCGAATTATTCAAGACACAAACTGTGCGGTCAATAAGTATAATATGATTATCAAAGTAATTTTCTATGATCGGTTCAAAGTAGGCTAATACCTCTAGCAAATTAGCAAGTATTGAAAAACATTGGGTGACTAAACTACTCCATTCATTTATAGATACCATGAATTTGTCATATAATACAATGGATCTGGGAAGCAGTATCCGAGCAATAGTAGCACATGTTTGTTCGTGTTTCGCCGCTGTACACCAGCCAATATATTCAGGACAAGTAGTTAGTAGAAAACACTGAATATTAGTCAGTTCTAAACAGTTAACATCAAGTTCTTGAAATATAGTAAAATAATATGATGAAGATAAACACTCGACAACCGAATTCAGTAGAGAGAGTAGTACAGGATGATCCTTCATTTCATCCCGCCATTTAGAAATATTTATAAATCCTCTCACAATATAAATTAGACTCACTAATCCATCATCACTTGAATGGTCTCCTTTTAATATTATATTTCGAATACATGAGTTGATTGGTACAATAAATCTATCGTTGAGTAAAAGTGTTTTGAATAATTCAACGTTCATATCATTGAAATTTGAAGATATTATTTCAAACAGATCAGCTACTTCACGTATCAAATATTTTTCATCTTCCGTTAACGATTCATGTTTGCTCCATTTTATGAACAATGTAATCAAAAAATCACGTAATAAAGTGAAGAATTGTTGACTTGTCTCAAATATTTCGGTTAATATCAATTGATCCATGTCATTGGTAGCTACCATGATTTGATAGAGGTTATTAGTGTATGTTTCACTGTCACTATGATCTCTTATAATAATCAATTCTTTAGCAAAAGTATCATAATATTCATTCAACTGCTCGCTTGTCAGCGTGTTCTTCTCTTCTTCGATTATTCGACAATTCTCCTCAATTGCCGAGCTCATCGTGGATTCTGTTCTAAACATATTCAAAAGTATCTGTACGTAATTATCATTGAGTTTTTCAGCGTACCCTTGCTGTGATCTTTAAGCTAACAGTGAAAGTCTAAAATTCAAATTCAGGCGGCCTGAAACTTTTCAGATATTTTTCAAAAAACTTCAAGAAGTCAAAAAGTACTTTCCTTTGACACGCTGAGAAATTTTTTTTAAGAAAAATATGTTTATGATACATTTTTGTTCTTTAGAGATATCTTTTTTCAAGACTATTTTAATGACAATCAAAAGTATAGCGACCCAGGTTTCTCTTTACACTACAGAAACTCAAAACATACATGTTAAACAAGAATGTGTTTCACAAAACAATGTAAGAGCAAAAACTTAAATGTGACGTACGTCTTGATCTGAACACTTCGGTTTCAGAACTTCAAATTTCCGTCGTATTCGTTCTTCTAATTTTTTGAAAGTATTTTTTTTCAAATTCAACATTAATACGGTAAAAATATAAAAGCTAAAATTTAACTTTGACGTACATCTTCATTTTACATTGTTTTGTAAAATACATTCCTGTTTACCATCAGGAGCGTACCTAGCATTTCAGAGTAGGGGCGTGGTGCTACCAAAAACATTTTTTTTCGTTCTTCTAGAAAAGATGTTTTTTTGAAGAAGGAAAGACATGAAACAGAAACTTTTCTGAAACCCTAGAGATCCAATCCTATAAAAGATTCTTATACTTTTTTTATCAGAATTTTATAGAAATCTTAATTTCACAGTCGATAGAAATGCATACTGTGGTTATAAGATGCTTATGTAAGGAATTCATGAGATTCCAATAAAAATTTATTAAAAAAAAGAAAACTTTTTTTTGTGAGTATGAGGGACGAGGGTAAAGTTTTGAATTTTGAAATTTTTGAACATTTTTCATAAGGCACTATAAGATTATAAGAATCTTATAAAAAAATTCTATACTAAAATCTTATGAAAATCTTATTCAGTTCTTATGAGATTCTTATATTGCAAATAATAAGAATCTTATACTTACAGTATGCATTTCTATCGACTGTAGTATATAAGATTTTTCTAAGATTTTCATAATTTTCGCCTAGGAAAGTAGGGGGCTTAAAAATTAACATAATATTTTTAAAAGGAATGATAATTATTATGAAAATAAAACTATGAAACGGAAAAGAATTTCTGTTTGATCAGACCTATATTCAGACTCTTTTACTATCAATTAGATGAATAAGATGTTTTCTTCAAACACTAGTAGATGACAAAAAGATTCTAATTAACATGAATCTGGTAAAGATGTTGAAGTCTAACAAGATATGTTTACACTTTCAGACTACGCTACCACTCATTTTGAAATATATGAGATTATGTTTTTTCGTTTTCTTCTTCTTTCTGTTTTGCCATTTTGCCAGTTGAAGAACAATATGCGAGAATATAACTGTTTTCTTTTCTCTTTTCCGTAAAGAAAAATGTGACAAGTGTGAAGCAAATGTCAAAAGCTCATGTATATATGTAACAGAGATCAGCACGAGTCGAACTTTTGATCAGACCGGGACGGGACTGCCCTGGCTGGGACGGAACGAGCCAGTAAATTTTATACAGTGGACGGGCTTGGGCCAAAAAGTATTTTGGTCAGATCGAGTCGGGCAGAACTCAGAATTTTTAAGTATACGTGGATTTGTAATTTATGTGTATACTCAGTACCGAGAAAGAGCATCATCACTGTTACGTGGCATCTTGAGAGAGCCTCCGCCACTGCACCGAACATACTGTCCGCTGACAAATTCTTCTTTTTAATTATTCATACATCATTCGAAAGAGCATTCAAAATGACCACTAAACTTGCAATAACTCTCTCTGAAAGTGTTTTGTTAAGAGACTAGGGACAAAACATTCTATTGGGGGCCGACGAGATGTTCTATTGTATATGGATCGATGCAGAATTGTCTGCTCTACGAAATCAAGCTAGATTTATTTCGGGACTGCCATATACGTGATCTTTTTTTTTAAAAATACTGGAAAAAATGCATATTTTACAATATGAAATGTTTTAGTTTTCTATCATTTAATCCTAGATAGCTAAGCATATTATTATGTCTAAGTGCATGATCTTATAGAGTCAACATCTCTCTTTCAAATGCACCATGAACCAGTCATAGAAGTTTCATAGTTTTTGAGAAAATCAAAAAGTACAAAGATTAGTGAAAATTCACGTTTTTTCGATTAATCAGCGACCCCCAATAGAGTGTTTTGTCTCTATCGGATTTTGGAAAACCTTAGGGTTTTTTAAAATTTATTTCGTGGTCTTCTATAAGTAGGATATATAATAGCTTAAATACTCTACATTCTGAAGTTTTGAAGTTGTTCTGATGTTTTTTGAGTGAATAATGAAATTTTTAATATTAGGTGAAAACCGCCTGAAAACCCTAATTTTCGTAAAACTGGGTTTTCGGTAGATTCTTAAAACTTTTTCTAAAAACAAATATTGCCACGAGACTCAACATGATCTATTATCCATTCGTCCTTAAGACTACCAAAGCCACCCAGTGCAAGGCCTGAGGCTCGTCTAAAATCCGATACAACTCGAACCGAAGAAAATCAAGGTCCCTTACAACCTATCCCTATTGGTTTTGGACCTCTTTCTATCTCATTTAATAAAGCAGTGTGGTTTAGTTGGCGGATGCTTTCTTGAAATTTTAAGCAATGTCCCATAACGATAATTGGATTAAACATATAGTCATGTCTTTTTTGTAGCTTCAACTTTCTATATTCAAGGATTTTTAACTGGTCAACTTCAAGAACTGACAATCAATGTTAAGTAATTGATTTTCTACCGGTAACCAGATAAGCGAATCCACGAAAATCTATTGCACACTGTTCAAAAGAATTTCAAACACTCTTAGATCTAACAATCAGTATCTTCAAATTCATCTTTAAACAGGAAAAGAATCGTTTCGAAGAAGATAGAGAGAGAACACTTCTCGTGATATTTAGTTTTTGAATTTTTTCTCAATAAAGTTTTGCGAGAGAAACTGATGCACATTTTGTAGTTCAGACTTTACTCTTTCAAACAAAAAGAAAGCGATATCTCCGGAATAGTGAAAACACGAAGAAACAGTGTTCGACATTTTGTGTAAAACTTATGCATCGTCTGCTAAGAAAAATATCCCTATCATTTTGATGAGAAGACTACGCCTAAAATTAGGATAGAAAGAGATTCGACTATATCTCTAAATTATTTTGTCGCAGAAACTCTTTGCTCTTTATTTACCTTACCGTTAGATTGTTTCTAAGTTACATACAATTTATTTTTAATGTTAATACTAACAACTCTATGAAAGAAACGAGACAAAAAACAAGCAGAAACCATTTTATCAAAAGCAAATGAAAGAGAACAGAAATACATAATGTATTTAAAGAAAAAGAGAGAAAACGTTGTGTTATGCTTAAATCAACAAGTAAATGTGAGAGAGAAATAATGTTCTCTAGATATATGTGCATCAGAAAACGATGGAAACAAATTATTACACTCGTATGAGTAGTGGATAAAACCTTGTGTAAAGAGCTAGTAGAAAAGGTTGAAAATGTCGCGAATTTACGATACTTGATCGATTTCCCTTCTCAGTATACATTCCTTTGGCATCAAAGGGCCTTTTATTATCACTAACTTCTACTTCGCACGGATAAAAATGCTCACAATGTACAATCGGAAAGGAAGAAAAGAGGGAATATATGATTAAAATTATTTTCAACAGGAGTTCGTCTCCAGGCTCGAGTATTATCACTCTTCACGCAAGTGCGCATCGCTCTCTGGTCCGGTAGACCGGGAAGGAAGATTGACTTTGTGTCGGCCTTGATCGGATTTGGCACGCTGCCTTGCTAGCTAAAATTTTTAGTTTTAGGTTATCACAGGGTATCCACGGATGCCACAAGATTTTGTTTCTTTTTTTTGTGATATCCTGCTCTTTAGTAAAAATAAATCTTATCTTATCTAACTGGCACGACATCAAGTCAACCCTCGTCTTCGACTATGGGTCTGTAGCTGATTGAAGGAAGGTCTGTCTATATCTCCTTGGGAAATTTACGATCCGCATCATTTTTGTTGGAGTGGGGTACTCCTTAAGGTTCAGTCCTTTTGCCAACTTTATTTATTATATTCGACTCAATGTTATGCAGACGATCTTAGCATATTTTTTTCTGTTCCGTTGAGTGGTACACAGTACCATCATGCTGTACGTATTTTGCGAAAGAGCGCACAACAGGCTCTTGATGCTCGACTTTTAGCCGATAAATATGTACACGTTTTTGCAATTTTTGGAAAATCATGAGTTGGGTTTAATTCAAACTCTTTCAATAGTTTGTTATAGAAAATATTGAAAACATCAACTCTTTGACCTTTAAAAAAGTTCCTGTTTAAAATTGACGAAACATGATGAATTCAGAGTGTTTTCTTACTCAAAATATAGCTGACAATATTCTGTGTTGAAACATAATATTCAATGTGTCATCAAAGTACGGCAAACGGTTTCTGCTAGAAAATGGCCCTTGTATGTTGAAAATGTTTGTATGATGTTGAATGAAAATGATCAGAAATGCTTCCATTTTCACTTTCCACTTTCAAAAATTCCTTCTGATGTCTTTGAAAAAACAATTCTTTTTCATTTTTCGCCACCAGTTCAACAAAAGCCATTTACCTTTTTCCGCAAATTTCCCGCTCGACTTCAAAGTCCTTGGGCAAAGCACATACATAGTAACATACAGAACTTTCTCGGCTTCAAAATAAGCTATAAACACGCTTTTCAAAAATATGCCTATATAGAACAATTGTCGAAATA